TTTTGTGATATGGAGACTGAACCCAGGGCCTTTGAACTGAGCTATATCCCCAGCATCCAGTAAACACTTTTTAAAATTCGAAGACAGGGTCATGCCAATTAGCACAGGTAAGGCTTGAACTTGCAACTTCCTGAGTCAGCTTCCAGGAGCACTGGGATCACAGGTGTGCACCATCACACCCAGTTTCCTTCACCATCTTTTTTACAACAAAGATGACAAGAGAAAGATGAGTTACGGTCAACGTTTGTGACGTGGAGAGGTGGAGGAGGCGAGATTCAGAAGGAAATCCTCCTGATCCATGTGGCTATGCCTTTCTCAGAGAAATGAGCTTCTGACCACACGGCTCCCACCATGGTGGAATATTTGGCAGCACCTGTGTGTACAGAGCCATTTCCAAGCGGCAGCATTAGAATCTCATAGAAGAACGTCATGGTCAAACCGAGTGTTGGTTTTAGACCCCAAGAGCTGACTTCTACCTGTGAGGCTGAAGCCTCAGTTTATCACCTGGGGACGAGGAGATGTTTCCAGAAGTCCAGGGCGGAGCCGGTCCTCACTGCCTGAGCAGTCAGGAGTCAGGCTGTTTATAGGCTTTCAATGGCCAAACTCGCCGGGCCAGGTGTGAAATCCCACCCACATTGAACCTTTTGATCTGGGAAAGTTCCAGTTAATCCCTTGAAATGTCACTCCGAAAACCTCTTTTCTCCCCCAAGAAGGCAGATGTCTAGAGAGGAGAAATGACTCACCGGAGGCCACCAGCTACACAGGGACAGCTCCGGAGCCTGTGAGCAGGGCTCTGTCAGCCTGCTCTGCTTGTTCTCCCCGGTGTTAGCGTGCACACCTGGGCAAGCGGGGAGCCACAGGAAGGATGCGTGAAGACGCCAGTGCTCTACAGCCCCGTCCTTGTGCCGGATGTGGTCACAGGCAGGAGGAGAAAGTAATGGAAGAGGGAGGGTGCAGGGCAAGCCTGGCTATTTCACAGGATCACCCATAGGAGGGACTTTACTGGCTAAAGCAAGAGCTCACTTGGCTTCCTGACCATCCTTGGCGGGATCAAGGGCCTTGTCTGAAACTTCTTCGGGGCAGAAATACTGAGGGCGAGCACATTCATCCAGCGCCCAAATGTCTAAGCACCTCTCAGCTGAGCTCTTCATAGAAATGTCAGAAGATGTAGGCTCAAGTGGCTTCATTCCCATTCCGCAAGAGAAGACTAAGACTGATATTAACTAGCTTGTCCAAAGTTACACAGTGACCGAATGACAAAATGAGACTGGAACCCAGGCCATCAGATCTAAAACCTAAGCTGGAATCAATGTGGAATGTCACTGGTCTTTCGAGAAATGTAAACTGAGACAACAGTGGGATTCCACCTCACTCCAGGAAGAATGGCTGTCATCAAGAAACCAATCAATAACAAGTGCTGGTGAGGTTGTGGGGAGAAAGTAAGCCTTCTCCATGGCTGCTGGGAGTGTAAGCTGGTACAACTACTATGGAAATCAGTCTGAAGGTTCCTCCAGAAAGTAAACTTAGAGTCTCCATTTGACTCAGGTATGCCCCTCTTAGGTATCTTTCTAAAAGATTTAAATTATACCACATTGATATAGGCATAGCCATGGTTATAGCAGCACTATTTTAAACAGATAATCATGAGAGCAGCTGATACGCCCATTCATGGATGAATGAATGAAGAAAATGTGGTGTTTATATACAATGGCATACTACTTGGACTTAAAGAAAGATACAATTGAGTCATTTGTAGGAAAATGTGTACATGAGGGGTAAGTAAACGCATGTGAAAAGCTCAGACTGCTGTTTGGAACACAAGTGCTCAAAGCTTTAGCGGCCATGATGGCAGCTATGACTATGCTCCCCACCACTGTGGCACAGGAGAAGCTACTTAGCAGGACTGAGCTCTGAAGGCCCTAAAGCCAATAGCTCAGTACTCTAAGAGTGGCATCTTCCCAAGTATCTTGGAGCAAGAAGGATAAAACAGAAGCTGCTCCAGTACACTAACCTTGTAAAAAGCAGCCCTGTGACTGGGGACAGCTGAACTCAGGAAGGCATCTGCTGGGGGGTCAGACCATAAAAGTAAGCTATCACACAACCCCAGGAAGGTCAGCAGCACTGGAAGCAAATGAACCAAAGCCAGGCCTAGATGAGGGAAACCCAGACCAGTGGCATCAGCTTTTGGGAGGGCATAAGAATAAGAAAGTTCAGGGCCAGGCAGCCTGCATGGTTCTGTTCTCTGGGCCACTCACCTGTGCAGCAGAGAGCAGCCAGGATGAGCAGGAGCCTGAGCAGGGTGACGCCTCCTTGACTTCTCATTGTGATATCCGCAGAGTCTGGAAGGAAGGGACAAGAAGGACTGTCATGATCAAAAAATGACTGCTTGGAAATCAAGACTTGAAGGCCCAAGGGGGCCCTAAGAAACACAAGGAAGGAGCTCACAGCCCTATGGAGAACAAGAAACTTCCAGGGTGAGGGTGCCAATAGCCGAGGCACACAGTCAGGTGGACAGCGCTGGATGACCACGCTGGACCCTCATCTTCCTGAGACCTTGGCTTCCTGAAGAAATGCTGCCCGACTGAGAGGGGCAGCTGCAGGGGAGCCAGAGCTCCCTGGGTTCAGCGGGAATACCTGTTCTACCTACAGTAGCCGCGAACCAAGATCAAACTCAGTCCCCACCAGCCCCAGTGTTCACGGCCCTGCAGTGGGAAGGACACTCTCTCTCCCACAAGGGTTGTGGAATCCAATAGAATATATGTGAGGAAACAGTCCATGTGATAACCTCAGTTCCCACCCTGCAGGCCCAGGCCATGCTTCTGGCTGAGCTGGAGGGGCACTTCTGTGGGCCTGGTCACTGAGGGAACGGAACCAAATGTTGCCCCTCAGGGGACCAGCAAGCTTTCAGCACCAGAACAGGAAGCTGAGGCTTGACAGGAGGACCAGCAAGTTCAGGTGTGGTAGGGACCCCTCCTTGTTCACCCTGGGGAAGGAAAGAGAGGTTCTGAGAATCTGAGAACTGGCGGACCTTTTAGAGCTTCCAGTGATACATAGAGCCCACTATGGTACAGGTGCCAAGGGTTGGCCACTACTGTCCTGACCATGGCTATTTTTCATCCCTTATCTGCCTTGCCACATCCTGGATGCAGTGCAAAGGGGAAAGCAAGTCCCCGATGATGTGTAAAAAGCTCCCCTTCAGTTGGAAATGTTCAAACAGAGAGCAGAGGTCACAGATCAGAGGAACTTTACAAAATAGCGAGGGGAAAGAGCAAAAGATTGAAGTACTAAAGATACTCATTCTATACTGAAACCAATCTGACAGTTATTATTCACGTCCAGCCACCTGAGACGCAAGGAGAGGCTAAAAACAGCAAGGTGATTTACAAACCTACAGGCGTCTCTTATCAAATTGCTAAAAATATTCTGAGAAGTTTTTAAGTGTTTGGGTATTCGGGTAGAAATCACAGCTTGAACCTATCTTCCATTGTTTTAAATAAGAAAACAAAGACAAAAACCTTAAGTCTCCCAAATATAAATAAAGAAATAGGTATATGCAACCCAGAGAAACTTGAGCAGCAAGCACTTACCACATGAAACAATTATTCAGTGACAGAGTGCTTAACGAATGCCCCGGTGGTGGATTTAGTCCTGAGAAGTAGGTTCACTGTCCACTCCTACTCCATCATCTCTCAAAGAGCAACTTCTGAGGCCACTGTGAGCAGGTGTGTGCCAGGCACCGGGCCACGGCGACTGCTGAACAGGGAAGGATCTCAGAGCTACTGGGGTGGACACCAACCAGTGCCAAAGAGAGGAAAAGGAGAATTACAACAGTGCTCTTCCATTTCACTGGGCACCTGAATCACCGGAGGCTGTGGAACACATCACCGACCCTATCCCCGCAGGCCCATTTCCCAGGTCTAACGCAGGGCCCAGAAAGTGCACTTGAGCCAGTTCCCAGCTGCTAGCCCTGCTGCTGGCCGGGGTCCACGCTGGGAACCACTGGCTTACAGTGACTCACACAAGGGCCAGGCATAGGGTTGGAAGGGTCTCTCCAGCAGGGCTCTCAAAGCCAAAGCACCCGCTAGTGCTGATGAAAGAATGAGTTTCTTCTGCCCTTCAGCGCTCCTGTGATTACAGTGCGGCATGGACTGGCTTATCAATGCCAGCCACTAGGTGAGTCCTTGTTTCCAAGTTATCTTCTATTTAGTGAGCAAATATCACGGGTCAAGGGCTATGGTAGGCGCTCCTTACATATTAATGTACGAGCCAATCCTCACAATACCATAAAGTGAATGTATGTCTGCCTCCAAATATAAGAAGCAACTGAGGAGGGGGGACCTAGCTAGTTTACACATCTGCGGGGGGCACGATAATGCCTCTCACGCCCAGTGACAGCCGCATCCTAACTCCAGGAACCTCGGAATATAGTCGTCCTCGTGTGGCGAGCGACCTCCACGGGGGATTGCGATTACAGAGATGATCCTGAGTATGGAACAGACCCCGCGTGACCACCGGCTCATTCAAAGAGGGACCGGAAAGCAGCAGAATCTGCCAGAAAGATGCGACAACAGAAAAAGAGGCAAAATCTGAAAGGTGATAGGAGCTCAACTCACTCTTGGTGACTTTGGAGACAAGGATTTCTCGAGCCAAGGCACACAGGTGGGCTCTAGAAGCTAAGAGTAGTCCTCACCCAACACCTGAAAGAAAACCCGACCCCATCTCCCAGTCACAGGGCTGCATTCTGCCAATAACCCGGATGAGCAAGGACACGGACCTGCTCCGTCCCGGAGAAGACCTCAGCCTGCCGCCCCGATTGTTCACCCAGTGCCACCGTGTCAGACTCTGGATGGATGACAGAACAGTCATTCTGTGTTGTTCTAAGCTGCTAAACTTCTGATTGTTTTCTGTAGCAATAAAAAATATAAAGTGGTTCTAGTGGCCTGGGACTGTGGTCCCAGTTATTTTGGAGGCTGAGGCAGGAGGGTCATTTGATCTTAGGAATCCAGACCCACCTCAACAACACAGTGAGACCGAAACTCAAAGCAACAAAAAGCTAATATGCAACCTCATCACTGGAAAGCAATGACATAAGATTTAAATTTAGGTCTGAGGTCTGAACCATAAACTGCACAGTAGGGAAACTTCTTGTGAATTCAGCTTCCAAAGTACATTCATCTGAGGCCAAGAAAGAGGTGAATTGTCCGTCTTTGGCTCTGTACCTGTCTCTCTGTCTCTGAGCCCCCCTCCCCACCAGTCTGTCCCTCTGCTAAGGATGGAACCCAGGGGCATGTACACCACTAACCAGTAACACTCATCCTAAGAAGACATTTTAAGACCAACAGAGTTTATATGGATGGGTTCACCATAAATATAGGTGTTAGGGAATTGATCATGTTAAAGTATGCTGTGACGCCGCCTCACAGGCTGCATTCTCCTGGTACATCTTGGCTCCCAAAATGACCTTATGCCCTTATCTCTGGTTCCCCACCCCCAAGGCCACAGTGGTCCAGGAAGTTGAAACCTGTGTCTGCAGGACTGGGCCCATAAAAGCAATCTGGCCTGTGATAGGTTAAAAGTAACTCACTCCTCCTAAATAAGCAATAGCCCACCCCAAAACTGATAAAAGGACCTTCCTTTCTTTGTTCTCTCTCTCCTTCTGCTTCTTCTTCCTCCTCTCTCTCTCTCTCTCTCTGCCTTCCTGACTCCTGCTCGCCTCCCTACAATAAAGATCTCCTGCCGGACCTCTCGGTGCGTGAGTGGCCTAATTGGGAAGGGGCACCCGAAAGGGCACGAGAACCCCCTTTCAATAGGACCTGGGGCTGATGAACTTCAAGGCTCAAATAGAGCCTCAAAAATTAAACCCACTGCTCTCATTTTATAGGAAGTAAATGAAGGCCCAAGAAAAGAAATTACCTGTCCCAAGGAAAAAGGGTTGCTGTAAAAAGGTTTATGTTACTTCTATCCATCAGGGGCTGGTAATTCTCAAGTGGTGTAGTGTGGACCCTTGCCAGCAATGTCAGGGACCCGGAGCTTGTATCCTTCTGACCCTGGACATGCTGTAACCAATACTGTCCAGAGAGCCACATATCAGTCACTCACTCAAAGCAGTAATTACTGATGCAAGGAGAGAGACAAAGAGCAAACCACCATCACAATGGAAGAGCCCCTCCCTACCCCTCAAATTTCTGCTGCTACAGACAACCACCCCAGACACTTTGAGAGCTCAGGTATCTGCCCTTTGAGATCTGTTCCCAGACATCAAACCCGGCCCTCTCTTACTGGACTTTTATCTTCCAAACCACTTGGCCTCCTGTGAAGTTTCCTTTCCAAACCACTAAGCATAATGGGATGTTTTCCTTAGAGCAAAGTCTTGAAGAGTTTTCACTTTTTTTTTTCTGTGAATATATATGTTACAAGTTACTGGTATATTCAGTTTGTCACAGAAAACTCCCTCTTTTCCTTCCAATGATGAGTTACCCACACACTGTAAATAACCACCTCCCTCTACTGCCGTTCTGAGGTCTGTGTGCCATCTTGGAACTGTGAGCAAATTACTCACCATGGGGAACCAAACAGAGGGACCACAGGGGGCCTGAAAAATCACCTGTTGTCTCTGGTAATGCAGACAGCTAAGTTAGACAGGGCTGGGCCCTCAAGGGAGTCAATACAGAAGACAATTGAGGCACATTTACTACAGGCCAGGATGAAAAAAGTGAAACTGCCATACTCACATACTTCCCCTTGGGATGAACAGCAGCGATTGATATTCTAAATAGGTATCAGTCACCTTGCATGGGGACCAAAACCTCTCTAGCTCAATCCTTCCCAGAAATCCTTGTTCCTTCCATGTATGCTTGCTATGTGACTTGCTTCCCTATTTGATTCCCATTTAATCAATATTACTTAAGCGACTATACTTGTTGCAATCTTATTGGCTGACCATACTTTTGTCCCACCTCATGCCCAACTTATGGTTTCCCATGGGATCAATATTACTTAAGCAACTCTACTTTTAATCTTATAAGTTATAGTTTTGTGCCACCTTGAATCTGCCTCACCTCATGGCTTTGCTTAATAAAAGACTCTTGGTCTACCCACGTTCTGGACCCCCTTCTGTCTCTCTTAGATATAAGCTGTCTTTCTCTTGTTGTGCCCAAGTCGCAAAGTCCCCAAAGACCACCAAGGAGTCAGGTCCAATGTAACTGTAAGAGGAGTTTATTGCAAGCTCGAGCTTGGACTCTCAGGTGTCACTGTCATAGCGGCTTCAGACTGAGAGCCCAGACCCATTTTTGAAGCAGGTTTATATAGGATTTTTTTCTGTTTATAATTGTTATTTTTAGTTCTCTTTTATCAAGGGGTACCAGGAGGGCACATCTTGGAACATGACCTAATGTTTATATTTGCAAAATCATCATGGGGTGCTGGGAGGGTACATATTGGAAAATTACCTAATGCTTATATTTGCAGAATTAATTCCTTTTTCATTAGATCATCTGATTTTTGTTAACTAAGATATATAACTATCTATGTCAACTATAATTAATTCTTATGTCAGCTATAACTAATTCCTATATTAATTAAATCACATAAAAAGAAACTTATTTTAACATCTTAAAAAGAGGAACAGAAGCAGGGTGGAGATGTCCTAAAAGAGGAACTGAAGCACAGAAACTGTCACATAGAATGGAATTTTTCAGAAAGGAACTTTTGCATTTTGCTCTATTCTGGGTAAGGGGCATGGAGCCCACCATGACCTGGAAACTTGGTCCTCACACTCTCAACAAATTCTTCATACTCTTAACATCTGTTGCTCCTATAATTCGTCCTTCGATTTCAGAGAACATGAACTTGGCATATCAGACATCTAGCAAATCAGGACTTAATATGTCCTTTACCTTATTTGGAGGTCCGTAGATGTATGCCCTATATCATTTGGAGGTTCCACTAAGATAATTAGGTGTAGATAAGAGTTTTGGCTTTTTGTTTCATAGATTCTGGCTCTTGTTTCATATATTCTGGACTGTGGGTCATTTAGATATTAAAGTGTGCATCTTTTGTCTTGCTGATAGAGAAGTGCTATACAATAAGACAGGCCCTTGTCTTGCCTCCATTTTTTTTTCCACACGATATTTTGTTTTGAAAATAAGTTCGTGGAGCTGGTCTCCTCCCCAATGTATCAAAATGGTTTGTGACTGTTTGAACTGTATCACCTTTCAGGAATGTTCTGTTAAGCCATTTCCCCTCACAAGAAGGTTCCGTTAAGCTCCACCCTCTCTCAGGAATGTTATGTAACTCCTCAGTTTGTGCTCAGTGTATCAAAATGGTTTGTGATTGTTTGAATTATGTGACCTTTCAGGAATGTTCTGCTAAGCTCTGCCCCCTCACAAGAAGGTTCTCACAAGAAGGTTAAGCTCCACCCTCCCTCAGGAATGTTTGTAACTCTGCTTCTTGCTTCAGTAAGCATGCCCATCTACCCTATAGATCCTAACATATGGAGGGGATATCCTCATTTCTGGTAGAGTACTTAGACTCCTCTGAGCCTAGCAGGCGCTCACCAGTGTAATAAAGGGTTTTTTCCACCTCTCCAACTGACCATTGGATTCTCAAATCTTCAAATGTTGAGAGCTGTGTTCCAGAGCCACCTCATTGAGCTGTAAAAGCTCAGCTGTGCCTCAGAGTGGTGGCACTTGACTGCAACACTGAGTTGTAACACTCAGCCATGCCTGTGAGCTGTGGCACTTAGTTATAACACTTGGCTATTGCACCAAGCTGCTCTGCCCTGCTGCAACGCTACTACATTTAGAGTTAGCTATTATCTTAATTTTGAAAGGTCAAAAGACAGGCATACAGGGGAACAGCCAATTCCTACTGGAGATCAAGCAGTCCCTATAAAAGACCCTCACTGTCCTGCCAATCAGACAAGAGACTGGAATACAAGACACTTTCAGACATGTATTCTTAAAGGTCTAAAACAGATGAGAACTAAGCCATTCAGTTATTTTAAATTGTCAAGTATTTAATAGGAAAAAGATGGGGCTATCCCTAGCTCCTGATTTGATAAAAGAAAATACTATAGGTTTTCCCAGGTCATGGTCCTATAATATGTAGATGATATATTGTTATGTGTCCCCTCAGAAGAGCTTTCTAGACAAGACACTTGAGCTCTGCTAAATTTTCTAGCAGACAGGGGTTTTAATGTTTCTAGTTCTAAGGCACAACTTTGCAGCCTTGAGCTAATATATTTAGGATTTATTATATCTAAAAGAACCCAAAGATAGGGGGAAGAAAGAATTAAACCAATTATTTCCTTCCCACAGACCAAGACTCTAAAACAGCAAAGGGGATTTGTAGAAAGTACAGTCTTTTTGGCTGTTAGATAGCAGGATATGGTGAGATTGTGCAACCTCTCTATCAGCTTATAAGACAGATGCCCATACTTTAACACTTTTAATAAGAATTGGAAGGAGTGGTAGACTTTTACTCATAGTTAATATTTTGTGTTATATTTTGCTGTAAGAATCCTGGCCACTTTGTGCCCTCATTTTTATTTAGCCTCTGGCTCAGTCACATCTACACCTGTGTCACTTACTCAGCCCTTTGTCTAACAGGGTTGGTGGGATTCCCTTCTCTACAGGGAATTGCTCTAAGGCAGCTTTGTTGTTCTTAGTTCATATTCGGAGGTCTATACTTTAGGATTTACTTTGTCTCCAGGAGTGGGGGGTGCAGTGTTCTTGACCTGGGGCATGTAGATTACAGTACTTAAACAGAATGAAGTATCTCTCCCCAGAAGGGGAACTGCCACATTAAAGGGATGAGTGAAGAGAAAGCCATCCCAGTTATAGCCTCAGGATTGTGAAAAACAACGCATTACCTCTTTTCTAGTGACTTTTTGTTGAAGTCTGATGACTGGAAGGAAGGCTAGGGCTGAAAAAGAATGATAGATACAGGCCAGGTTACTTGGGGCTCCTCCACGGAGATGATGGTTTGACTGGAGTGGGGAGGTAGAGAGCGTCCTGGAGCCTCTTAATCTTGTTGGACCAGCTAGTGAGGTGAACCTGGTTCTTGGGGCTTTTGTCTCAGGGAGCAGTCTGACCTCCAGTGGTGACCTTTGTAATCAGAGCATGGCTTAAGGGGCCTCTTAAGGTAGTCCCTCTTATGGTGGCCTGCCTGGATTTCCATGACAGGGGAGGTTAGTTATCGAGTTCTTTTTAAAGCCCTGAGAATAAGAGTTGGGGTCTTTGTCTTTTAAGGCCAAAATTAGTCACTGTCCTGTTTTAAAGGACAGTGGAGGAGCTTGCTGCCTTGAGGAATTTAGGGGGAGATAAAGTGAGGTCACACTTCTTGGGATGGGCAGTGGTTAGTTTTATCAGGCTTCCTGGAACTGCAGCAGCTGGGAACTGATTTACTGTCTTTGTTCTTTTTTGTGGTTTCCCACCATGCCTGTCTTATCTGTCAGGTGTGACAGAACACAAATAAGGATTATCTCTTAATGTGAAGAAAAGTTGAACATAAGGCAATTGTGACCATTTTCTATCTTTCTTACAGTAGAATATTCTAATTGTAAAATAGCATCATAATCATTATTTCCCTCTGCATTTCATCTTGGCTCTAGGAAAAGCCAGGGTGTGCACAGGTGCAGAAGAATGTCAGGCTATTTTTCCTCAATATGTGAGTGTTGAACCTTTGCCAGTGTTTAAGAATACATTCTAGGGCTGGGGATTTAGCTCAGTGGCTCTACTGCCTGCCTCGTAAGCACAAGGCCCTGAGTTGGATCCCTGGTACAGGAAAACAAAATAAAACAAAAAAATACATTCTAAAGGAGCACAAGGGATCTTGATATTGAGTTCCCCATTGTCTGAAATGTAAAAAGAAAGAATAGTGTTCCTACAATTGCTAATTGATTTCTGTGCCCTCACAGGGTCCCCAAGTAGATTCCACTCCAGGACAGGTGGCTACCATCTGGAGAGAGGGAAAAACATAAATCCAACCAGACTAACCAGCCTCATATTGGTGTGTCATCTTGTTTTCCCCCAGGAACTCATGTTCCTACTCCTGTAGGTGTCTTCAAAAGCACAAG